GGAAACTACTGCACAAACCATTCATTAGAAATGATCGATTCACAAAGACAGTTTCTCATCTGCAAGAACCCATTCATTCTCTTCATATTGTCATCTCCTTAAAGACTCATCCTGGGCAAGCTTTAGAGCGTAATGAGTTGGGCCACTGCTTTGGAGCTGGTATCCTACATGGGTGCTTGCTCAAGTCCAAACTGCCCCCACTTCCTGTCCGGCATCCTGCTAATGTGCCCGGAGAAGCAGCATGAGACAGACAAGTCCCTGGGTCCCTGAACTCATGTGGAAAACCCTGATGAATGTCCCGGTTTCTGGATTCAGCTTGGTGTCTGCCCAGTTGTTGTGGTCATTTGAGGAGTGAATCCGCAGATGGAAGATTTTCTCTCTTTTTCTCTCTTTCTCTCTCTGCTTTTTGAATAAATAAAAACACTAAAGATTTATTTCAACCTTTTGTCTCCACTCTTACCATTTATAACAAATCCTACTTTCTTGTCTTCACCTAAGGGGTCTGATATTTTGGTTTTCAGAGTCAATAATACACCTTAAACTTTAACTATCCTCTGTAGCCTGGTCTCTCCTATTTCTGATTTGTCATTTTTAAGTGTTCCATTTGCTTAGTCACCAGGTTTCAAGCCAGTGTTTTCTTGAACCCCAGCCTCTCATTTCTTGCTATGAAGTCTTCTTAGGTTTTTGGCAAGCCCTTTCCCACTCCTTGGCTGCTCTGTACTTGCCCCAATGGCAATCTTGACTGATCTGCTTCCAATTCCTCTTTATCAAATACAGAACAGCCAATGAGTGGGAGGCCATTTTGATGACATTTTTGTCTCCTTTACAAATGCTCCGTGGCCTGAGGAAAAGGCTAAGCTCTGTTGGCATTCATCTGTTAGATTATTGGTCAGCTTCAGTCTCCAGTGTTCTCTTCCACTCTGCTTGAAGAGAAATTCTAGCAGGAATTTGCTGACAGTGGCTAAGATTCCACTTAGGGTGCTGAGCGCATACCATAGTCAGGTGCCTCAGAGTCCAGATCTGTTTCTGGATGCAGCTTGCAGTTGATGTGCACACTGGAGGCAGCCACTGATGGTTCAAGTACTTGGGTCCCTGTAACACACATGAGAGACCCTACCTGCATTCCAAGGTCCTGGTTACAGCCTGGCCCAACCTTAGCTCTTGCAGGTGTATGAGGAGTGAACCAGTAGGTCGTGAACCAGTCAAGTGAACCACTATATTTTTTAAATATAACCAACTCTCTGTCTTATCCAGGTCTATCCTGCCATTGTTCCCTGAACATAAATCCCTCATTCTTGTATCCCTACGTCTAAGCCTTTTGATTTCCTGCTTCATTCCCTCTTCTTCATTTGAACCAAACTTTGATGGTGGAATTGAAATTCTGATTACTGTGTAAAATCATCCTGCCACTCTAACTCATAGTGGCTTTCTGTTTATTTCTTCTTCTGGACTTCTGTTTGCTCTATTCATTAGATACATTTGCTGTGGCTAGAATTAGTTTTCAAACGGATGTTCATTGGTGTGAAAGGGAACCTGTGTCTCACCATTTGTTCTCTTCATTACCATACACCCCACTGTATAAACAACACATGCCTAAGAAATACAGTTAAATTATTTCAAAATCAAAGCCTGTGTCTTACAGGCAGTTTTTTTTTTTTTAATACGTTCTCTGATGCATACGAAAGATGAACAGAGAAAGTTGTTCAACTCTCTCAAAGTTCCACTGTACATTTACCCATTATGCCCAGAAGTGACCCCCTTTTATTTCCCACAATTGTCTTTATTTCTAAAGAACAATAGATTGTCGTCCTCTTTTACAGGAATTAGAATTGCAGTCGGATGTAAACAAACGCCCTGGTTTAACAGCCCTACTTACCTTCACTCCTCTGAATGTAATCCACTCAGAGAACAGCAGATGTTTCTGAAGCTCGAAGGTTGAAGAAGCTGCAGATCCAAATGTACATAACCACACACAGCAGTATCCTTCTTTCTTTTTATTGAAAGGAATTATTTCTATTCTAGCGCAATCAATGTATATTTTACATCATAAAGCAAGATATAATTTACATATTACATTTCTTACGAGATCTTTATACCCTACATGTCATTCCCTTTTTTTTTAGGTTACTTCTTCTGGCTTAATTTAACCTACACATGTGCATCTCAGGTGTGTTTCTCTGTACCTGGGTAGGAGGCTAAGGAACCGCAATATGCCGTGAAGTTGTGGCCCTGCCACCCTATCCGACAACTGACATGAGAACCACAAGGCTACTGCTCCATATCACATATCAAACTTACACTTCAAAAAAAATCATCAAAAGATGAATAAAACTGAAGAATGCTTTTACTACGTATGTGTTTCTTGATCAAACGCTTAGATGACAGATGCTTATAGAATTGGCTCACCAGCAAGGAACATCCATATGACTGATCAGCTCTAGTTACTCTATGAGATTCCCAGATGCCACTGGCCCAAGCATTAGATGACTCCATGTAGGTGACTCTCATTGGGGTATGGGTTCTGGCTTTCCTGTATGCCACAGTAAAGGGATACCCAGTTGAAGATATTCTACCTCATCACCTCTTTTTCTAGGAGTGGCCTCCTCTTGGCCAAATCTTTTCATTTATGACTTCTGTTTCCTGAAAATAACCCAAGTATCCAGCTGTTTTCCCCATACTCCAAACCCCCAAAATCCAATTTCTTGGATTGCACTCACTTCATACAGACACACACAAAGAACATTTCGGTTTGTTAGGATACTGTTCTTTGGAAACTTGGTGATCCACAGAAACTTATGGGACAAAACAATGAGTCAAGGGACTCTTCGGGAAGCAAGTAATGTGTTGTTCAGCCACCCTATGTGAACAAATCACTAAGAACTGTTTTAGTCGTGGACTAAAGAGGAGGAAATCAACTGGTGAATGCAACATGGTTGTGATGGTCTTCCTTATTATTTGAAAAAGCAACCAATCAATAGACATTTTCTGATTGGTGTCTCTTAGATTGAAGAAAACATCACCTTAGCTAATTTGGCATACCAAGGGAGATCCAAATGTGTGGCCAAAAGTGCATATTAAACACAAATTTCCTTGCTTGTCACTCACATTGCAAAAGTTGGCGTATTTCACCAAAATAAACCTACAAGCTTCTTCATCAGTGATGACTAAGGTTATCCTAGAACCAAGCTGGCCAAGATAAGACTCTAAGTTAAAAATATGTGTATTGTGCACATCTTAAACTATTCTTTGGTCAAGTGATGTGATTTTGAGAGATTTGAAAATATAGACCTCCTTCCAAATACAAGGGCATAAGTAGGTGCAGCAAGACAGCATTTCCTTGCCACAAAACGAGGCTTCCAGGAACCATATAATTCCATCAGCATTGTATACTGTTAGCATTTCTTTCCTCCCATGGCTACAAAGTGCTGGACATACAGAGAATACAGGAAAAAATGAAGGAGCCAATGAATAGAGCCTCACAACACCCCTGTGAGGTAGGTAAGTACTGTAAAAAAAAAAAAAGAACACTTTAAAAACAAGCAACTGAGGCAAAGCATAGTGATGTGGTTTGGTCAAACTCACATGGCAAGTTACAAAAGCATGACTGGAAACAAAGAGAAATAGATTCAAGAAGATCAGCCCTGGTTCCCAGCCCTAGATGCTATGCTATATTTCAAAATACTACAATGTTTGAAAATAGCCCATGATCACTTTTTTAATTGTTGGGACTTAGACAATTCTTACAGTTGCTGTACCTAAAATATCTTTCAGACTAATGTTAAATGAAGGAAGACCAGACGACTGAATGACTTTCACCCTCTCACTGTAATTCCCGAGAAAGAGCAGTACGTGCTAGCATTCCCACAGAGCTCAGGCTCCAAACTCAAAGAGAGCTTTTTGGTAGCTTCACCTCATTTCAAAATCATTTGACGTCCTAGTGTGAGAATAAGGTAGAGTCTCAACCAACTGCACTACCAAGTGCTCTGTGGTCTTCATCGGGAATTTTGTGTAGAAAAAGAAGAGAGATTCTTTAAACATGTCTCATCAAAGTAGAGATGATGGCAGTAGTGATGGTGTGAACTTGGCTCTTTGTATTCTTTGAGAAACTGAAAACTCAAGCTTGCAATATTTTATATATATATAAAATATATAAGTATATACAGTATATATATATAGAGAAGTGTGCATCTGACTATCCTTAAGGCACTGAAGACATGTGGGCCATGCCTTTCACTAATCAGTTTTTGGTTTTTGAAAGAAATTGCTCTCCATCTCTCAAGTGAAAAATATTTCTTCTCTCAGATAACCTATGACAGCAAATGATTCAACCTAGAAATAACCTAAGAAGGCTGCATATTTGGATGAAGATGAGGAGTGGCATTCGTGCTGATTACAATTGATAGCTTGGAGCTTAAATCTACAGTTTATATCTTAGATGATGTAGAGCTAACCAGACACAGCCAATCAAGTTTGATCAGACAGGCCTGTGTGACTAGACGTTGCACACAGTGTTATTTTCCCTAGTAACTGATGGAAAAAAAATCTTCCCATGACCAAAAGTTATAGAGACAACAAAAAAGGGAGTCATGTCTGGCAAAGCTTCTTTGGCAAAACTCAGGGTTTGCAAAACCTCTTAGAGCTTTCAAAGAGCCGGGAAGAAGAAAGAGTAAGGCATGGAGGTTGAAACAGGTTGAAGAAGAGACTGCAGGCAATCCTTCAGCAGTCACATGCATGTCATTTCTTTGGCTGCTGTAGAGTTTTGTGTGGTTTTTTTTTTTTTTTTGAACTTCATACAGTCATAGGGGTGGGTAGGCTGAAGCTAACTGAAGAAGCTCAGAATATATCAAGCAAAGCATGAATAGAAGGAAAAACAAAATGAACATACAGAAACAAGTGATGGTGTTATCCTGGAGCGAGGAGGAACATTTGTTAATTAATTTTCATTATGCTCCTCTCCTGCGTTTCTCTGCCATGGTCCCAATATTTAGTTCTGTGCTTTGTTGTTTTGTTTTGTTTTATTTTACTTTTTTTTTCCAGCAGATGAAGAAATGATAGAGCAGGATAGGTCTCTTATGGTTTTTGATTTCTTCTTAGACCTGTTTAATTAATTTTTATTCCTCAGTTGACTGTTGGCACCTGGTTCCTCTGTAAACTATATTCCTTGGCCTTCAGTCTCAGGTTGGCAATGCTGTTGGCCATGTTGATGCCCTGTGCAGGGCTATTGTTGGCACATGTGGCAGAATAAGTAGCCATGGCGCTGTAGGGACAAAGGAGAGAGCAGGGAGAATAACAGGCGTTAGTTTCATGAATCTGCAAGTCTGTGCCCCAGTTGGATGTAGTCTCATTTTGGGGGCAGGCAAGGCATGTGCATTGAACTAGATGACCTCTGTGGTCCCTTATAGTTCCGGCTTTCTGTTCATCTTCAGCATTTGAGAAGGGTGGCCATGTTGTAAAGGGTAGTGTAAAGCAGAGGAGATTGAAACTAGGGGGATAGAAACAGATTGACTATGTTGGAAACAATAAGTAATGATTTATTTCTGGCCAGGCTGAATAGCAAGTGTTTCATCAGCTAATGGAAGCATTGCTTATTCTCTCTTCCTGCTCATAAGGCCAATCTATAGGAGCAGTTAGGAAGAGAAGCCGGTATTTAACACAAACTAAAGGAAATGTTGTTCTTCATCCTGGGTAGCTGCTCTGAACGTTTCACATATTTTAACCAATAGATACCATTAAAAAAAAAACACATTGGGCTTGGAGATTCAGGTTAGTAGCTTCTCTGCCACTCTTGATTCCCTGGAGGATAGTACCAAGCCAACCAAGAGACCCTTGTTCCAACTGTTATGAGAAGGCTGTCCTGAGAAGTATTTGAGTAACACACAAGACTTTTGGGATGGGTTATTTTGAACGTTTTCAGCTTCAGATACGGAGGTCAAAGGCTAGAGTTGTGTCATTCCTGTTTTCACTGTCCTGAACGATTGAGGAAAACCTCAGTCGGTTCTTCCTGCCAGAGATTATATTAAGATCTAAGAGCACCACTGAGAAATGTGTCATTGATGAGTGTCTGTTTCTTTCATCTGTGTATCTCTCTTAAAGAAATAGCTTTGTAGGTATCAATGCAAATTTTCCTCAAACAGTTAGAAGAGATTCTTGTTAAAAGAAAGAGTTTCTAGACATTTTTAAGATTGGCAATACCCTTTGTAGCTGAAGGTTGGAACCAGATAGACTTATAAGTGGAATGACATGTGCACTTCTGTTGCCTGCATTCCACTGGGATTGTGTCAACCACATAGGCGTTTATGGTTCTTTGGATCAAGTAACAAGATCAGAAAGAGAGAAGTGAAGTTACTCTTCCAAAGGAGAGAACATATCATTGGTACGGAGTTAGGACATCATATAGTCAAGGCTCATAAAACCTATTTTAGTGCAATTACTAGCAATTAACCCTGGAAAAATAAGAAATAGTAACCCCAGATCACTCAGTCTGTCCAGAAATATACATCATTTAGTTCAAAATCTTAATAGTAATGGTGTGTGTGTGAGAGAGAGAGAGAGAAAAAAAAAGAGAAAAAAAAGAGAGAGAGAGAGAGAGTGTGTGTGTGGGGGGGGGTGGAAGAAGAAAAGCTCAGAAGAGTTAAAACTAAAAAGCTAGTGCATTTCTCCATTTCATTTATTACTACTATCCTTTCACTCATGACTTCTGGGTAAATGATCATATCCCTACAGATAAAACTCAGCACCCTACACATTTGTTTTTAGCACTTAATCCAAGTTTATTTGATGTTTTCTTCATTATACCTTGCCTGCTTACCTATTAGCTTCACATCTGCCTTATTTGCAACTGAAACTTACTTGCTAGATGTATTGGCACAACACTCGGCACAGATCTGTATCCATTAAGTATTAAATAGGGGCCACTGCTATAGCATAGTGGGTCAAGCTTCCCATATGGACACTTGCTTGGATCCCAGCTGCCTCCCCTTCCAATACAGCTTCCTGTTTCTCTGTGGGAAAGCAGCAGACTGGCTCAAATGCTTGGGCCCTTGCAACCAAATGGAAAACCCAAAGCCAGGAATCTGAAGCTCCTGGCTTCAGATCAGCCCAGCTCTTGCTGAGGCAGATGTTTGAAAAGTGAACCAGCAAATATAATCTCTCTCTCTCTCTCTTAGTCTTCCATTCAAATAAAATAAATGTATGTATGTATGTTAAAGGTATCAAACAAATAGTCAAGTAACTGAAGTATCTAGATACAGTGTGTTTAGTCTCATCCTTGCTTCGTGGTTAATTTCTTATCATGCAACTGTGAGTAATGATTTCTCTAAAAATTTGACAAATACACTTTGATTTTTTAAACTAATATTTCCATTAATTTTGCTATCTTAATAAAAATAGCAAAATCAGGAGGACATGACCAAAGATGGCTCGATGATTTCATATTCTTAGATCGATCAAAAATGTCTAGTCACAGGGCTGGAGTTGGAAGATTAAGTGGGCATCTACAACACCAGCATCCCCTGTGGACTCAGCTGCTCCACTTAAGATCCAGTTCCCTGCTACTATGCCTGGAAAAGCAGCAGCAAGCGACCCAAGTCCTGGGGCCCCTGCTAACCCTTGTAGGACGTCTGTCTGGAGTGATAGGCTCCTGATTTCTGCTGGCCTACTCCTGGCCCTTGGGTCCATTTTGGGTGCTTACCAGTAGACAGAAGATTTGTGTGTGTGTGTCTCTCTCACTCTTTTTCTCTCTGCAATTCTGCTTTTTTTTTAATAAACAAAATATGTATTTTAAAAAGATACCATTACAGTAGAAAATGGACAAATATCATCACATTTAAAATTTATGCAGCAGACTGTCACTTCTACCCTTGTCCACAACTAATGTACATTTCATTTAGGAGTCAGATGTATGATCAGAACAACTCACTAAAATGCAGAAAATACTCTTAGGATGTACAAATAAATGGCCTTTGTTTTCAAAACCCATGTAATATGCCACAATTTAGTTCCTAGAGGAAATACAGGCTTTCATTAATATCCTACCAGAAATACAAACCCATAAAGATTATACTTGGGAAATTTCTGATAAATCAAGCACCCACTGGCTGGCACAATGGTTCGATTAGTTAATCCTTTGTATGCAAGTGCTGGCATCCTATATAGGCACCAGTTCAAATCCCAGCTGTTCCACCTCCCGTCTAGTTCCCGGCTTGTTGTCTGGCAAAGCAGTGGAAGATGACCTAAAGTTTTGGGACCTTGCACCTGTGTGTGGCAGACCTGGAGGGGCTCTCCTGGTTCCTGGTTTCAGACTAGTTCAGCTCCAGCCTCTGTGGCCATTTGGGGAGTAAACCAGTGGAAGAAAAATTAGGAAAAAAATCAAGTGTTTAAACAAGAGACAGTTGGATTTGGAATAGGCACCTAAGATATAGATATAGATATAGATATAGATATAGATATAGATATAGATATAGATATAATTATGATATTAACTAAATCATTTTCTCAACCTAGTTGAGAAACCAGGTTTCCTGTGAGACAATTGGTAAAAGCGGTCTGTAGTTAAGTGCCAATTTGAACACATAGAAAAGAAGCTGCAATTCTGAGTTATCTGTATTCTGTGTCACATACTGAGAATGAAATTACTCCTGAAAACAGAAACCGAAACCTTTACAAACAAAACATTGAGAAAAAGTTACCTGATGGTAAATTTTAGGTTACCAGGCAGCAAAGACTTTTAGGTACTTGGCCTGATTTGCTGAGGAATGTATTTTCCAGTCTTTGAGATTTTGAAGAGTAAAATCCTATTAAATCGAAATTAACCACTTTGTTTTCCAATAATCAACATGTGTACCATCTCTTGGAGACAAAGGGAACTGGGATCTTGGAGGACTTTTTGTATTTACTGAAAATACTGTCCCCATTCTGAGAAATATTTGCCAGAGTAGTGGATGCAATGTGTTCAGTTTTGCTAAAATTATTTCATAAGATTCCTAACTTTAGCATCTGCTAGTCTAAGGATTTAGTTGGTAATGTATTTTCTTGAAAATGGTATTTTTCTCTCTGATACAGGTCTCAAAGAAGATGAATGCCGATCGAGTTTCTAAATCCAAAACAAATCCATGAGAATGAGAATCCTGCTCTGTAGGGAAAGTCAGGTATTCTACAGGTTTTTGATTTCTATGGCAGCCTGCGTTTCCAGGTAGGGAGCAGAGCTCTCATCCAGCTGCATGGTGGATGCTATCTTAGGAATACCGTTATAACCAGCGAGCCTGTAATGATGCCTTGTACTTTTCCCTTAACGTAGTGACATATAACACTATACAAGGCAGTTCACATTAATGAATAAAATTTTCAATTCCCCAGAAGCTGAGTAAGTGATAATATGTGATGAAATTTCTAAAATTAATCTTTTTCAAGCACTTCAAAGCCACAAGATGCAGGATAAAATAGCCATCATCTTAACTCACTGCCTCTTAAGAAACATTTAGAATATATAATAGTACCAAATGGTATTCCAGCAATAGTTGGGCATGAGCTAATGATTTCAGTCCCTTTTTTCCTTCAGTAGTTTTACCCGGGTCTAGTTTTTCAACTTCTCTTGAAAGTGTTACATAGACAACGTCAGAACAGTTGTCTGACGCGCGAGTGACAAGCAAGACTTGTTATAGATCAGAAAAGGTAGAGTGAATGAGTGAACACTCCGAGACTAGCTGGGTCATGCTTTAAAAATGGCATCAGCCGTAAGTTGCAGAGGACTTTCTTCTTCAAGTGCCAACAGATGCAAGAGATTCTTGAACAGCTGCCAATCTGAAAGACTATTCATGACCACCTGTTTTCCATGTCATGGAAACTTCTAAAGCTCTACTTTAGGAAAGGAAACAACAAAACCTTAAACTGTTTTCTCACAAGACAAAAAAACAATAAGGCTAATGAGCCGTTTTCAACCAGGTTATAGAGCTATTCAAATGATATAGAGTAATGACTCCTTCCTACACAGCATTAAGATCCCTAGGATTTAAAAAAAAAAACTATGGCTGAAACTATGTGATCCATATAAATGAAACACAATGACAACCAACAGCCTGCTAATCAACGAAAGAGTCCGGGTATGGGTCTTGCCTTCTGGGAAGAATTGCTCATTCCTGCAAGCAGGATGCTGGCCTGAGCTGACTTGTAGCATTGAGTTCACAGGAGTTGATTAAACCACCATTTGTATTTGGCTTTTTGGTAAAGCTTTTTTGTATCCGTGACCAAGAAACTACACTG